AGGGCAAAGAGAGGCGTGACCGCGGCGCAGCTCTTGTGTGAAATCGGTCTGACAGTCAACACCTCCTGCTGATCCCTGGCCCAAAGGACGTCCGCCTAGCCTCGACCAGGGCCAGGGCTTCTTCTGCCCTGGCCCCCACCTGGTGGAACACGCTCCCTATTGAGATCAGGGCCCTGTAAGATCTTATTCAATTCCGCAGGGCCAGCAGGACGGAGCCGTTCCGCCAGGCCTTTGTTGAGGCAGCGGGCGTCCACATATGGGCCTCCCGAGGTTGCAGTCTCCCACCTACTGATAACCGGCCATACCTAGTTACATCAATGGGCCGGATTCTCCCTACAGCAAGCATGACTATTGATTTTATATGTTGTAATGTGTTTTAAATTTTATTGTATTTATCAAAATGTTGTAACTCGCCCTGAGCCCGGTTATGGGATGGGCAGGATATAAATGTGAAGAAATAAAATAAAATAAAATAATTTTTAGAATGTTATTTTTAATTATCCTTGTCTTGAGAAATCTGTTTTAGGCTGAAACGCATCAGCAGAATGCAAATCAAACACTCGTTTTCTAAACTTGTACATTTATACTAATTACCTGTGGGCCGGTGTGTCATTTCAACACACCTGGGCTACCATCATCTTCTCCTGTTGCTCGCTTGAAGCATATGAAGGTCTGTCACTTAGAGGAGGGCAGGGAGCTGTTCCTGTCGGCAGCAGAGGAGGGGACTTGCAATCATGGGTTTAAATTAAGGGCATGAAAGTAACGGCTGGATCATAGAAATTTTTTTTGACAGTAATAGTTGTTCAGCAGTGGAATCGGCTGCCTAGGGAGGTGGTGAGCTCCCCCTCACTAGCAGTCTTCAGGCAGCAGCTGGACAAACCTTTGTCAGGGATGCTCTAGGCTGATCCTGCATTGACCAGGGGGTTAGACTAGATGGCCTGTATGTGTCAGCTATGCTGCCATATGGCCCGGGTTCAGTTTCATGACCCGTGTGCCAGTTGCTGCCGCATTCCTTTCTTTTCGCTTCCCCCCTCGTTATCACGGACCTTGTAGCCTGCCTGTGTAGTGTCTTCCCATCAATTAACCGTGTGACTAGTTTCGTTTCCCAGCCTCGGCTCCAACTGCCCTGGTCCTCCTTCCCACCCGTGGGAGTCAGGCCGATTGGCCCATAGGTGTGTGTGGGGGTACATTTGAATACCCTATATCACTCTCTGCTTTCTGTGTAGTAGTTATTCCTAACAGTGATTATGTTTCTGCGACCATAGTACTAGCAATAAAGTATAACCTTCAAAGAAGCAAGTGCTCCGTTGTTTGACTGTGGGTCCTGACATTCTGTTAGGAATCCCTAAATCCCTACTTCCTCACATCTCTCAAGCTGAGATCAGCGATGATGAGCAGAAAACTGTCCCTAAGACGACAGAGAGTGAGGTTCCTATCACTCAGACCGAGGTACCAGTGACTACCACACCACCGGTGACTGCTCCGAGACTGACCCCAAGTCTAGGGACTGTGCCGAAGATGTCAACAGCCCATTTGTTCCTGACCCTGCGAGGTCTGCAGCAACTGGCTGGGCAATCATATCGGCCGGGGAGTTTGCGGTGGGGCCAATTCAACCCGGACTCAACGGAGAAGACGTACGTCCTCACCCAGGGGCCGCGCAGAGACAGTCGATTTGATATCGGATTCCAATCCGATGCCAGCTTCCAGCCATTCGGGGGGCCCTCAGAGGCGGCCACCGGAGCCTGGATGATGGGCCGCTCGAAAGCGTGCAGCGGCCGCACATCTCAAGAGGTGGAGTTCGATTTGGCCCAATGCCTGGAGGCCATGGAATGAGACAGACTCCAGATGAGACGGGAATTCAAGGACGCGCTCCTGGCCATCCCAGATATGGTAATTAGAGCACTGCGAGCAGAGCGCGAGGCGCAACAACCAGCGCTGGCCCTTCCACCTCCTCAGAAGGCTCGCCCCACCCCAGCGCCCCAAGGGCCGGGACCAGCCGGCCTGCCTGCTGTTCCAGCTCCCAGACCCACTGACAAGCCAGCACCAGTACCCAGACCGGGCAGTCTGAGGGGTCTCATCCTCCACTGCCCAAAGGATCTGATCGAGGCAACCTTTGACGGGGATCTGGAAGAGTCATCCTATTTCGTGGTTCGGGTGACGAAGTTTGTGGAGAAATGGGGACACCTGTTCCCAGATGACAGCAGCTGAGTAGATATAATCGCGGCTTGCTTGAAAGGGGCCGCGGCCACTTGGTACGTGGGCTTACACAACGCGAGGGGCCTGGAGCTGGTGAGTGTGGACACTTTTATGTGGGCGTTGCGTGCCCAGTTAGAAGACCGGAATGCTGGCCCGAAGGCTAGGGCATTCCTTCGTACCCTAAAACAAAGGAAGCGGTCGGTGAGGGAATACTCATCAGAATTTAGACTTCATGTGGCTAAGGTTCGAAATTGGCCGGACCAAGTCTTGGCCGAGCTGTACCAGGTGGGGCTGAATCAAGAGATCCACGAAACGGTCCTGCGCGCTGTGGATCTGATGTCCCTCCTGGCATGGATGCAGGAAGCAGAGAGCGCTGAGGGCTGTCTAAAGACTCTACACCTAGACATCGCTGCAGCAGGAAAAAAGCCAACCCCTCCTCCGACCCAGAAGGGAAAGCCAGTACGACCACCTGAAACGCTCAGGGATCAACGCCTGAAGCAGGGGCTGTGTTTAAGGTGTGGGGAACTTTGCCGCCGACTGCAGCAGATCGAGCCCTGGAAAGCCAGGAAAACTCGAGCCGGCCAAGATGCGGGTGGGAACCCCAGTGAAGAAACCATCAGGCAAGCCGAAATTCGCTAAGGCACTGCAGGCAACCCCGGAGGAAACCAAGGACGGCACCAGCGAGGATGAAAGCCCCAAGCCGGCAGGAAAAGACCAGGTCCTGTTGTGAGAGGTGCGGAGCAGCAGGGCTCGATCCCAGAGGCGGCAAAAGTGGTGAGCAGCTACCCCCCCTCTTTTTTGTGACTGTGACTCTCATGAATCCAGCCAAGGGGACCCACAGCAGAGTAAGGGGCCTCATTGACTCGGGGTGCGGGAAGGACCTCATCAATCCATCTTTAGTGACAGGGCTGGAAGCCACGGTGGTGCGGTTACCCGAACCCCTAATCTTTACTCAAATGGATGGGTCCACGATGAAGGAACCTCGCGATTTCGAGACGGTGCCATTATGGTTGGGGGCGGGGGATCACTGGGAAGAACGCTTGTTCGTGATTACCCCCACAGCCAGGTTCCTGCTATTATTAGGAAGCCCCTGGCTGCATGAGCATGATCCCTACATTCTGTGGGACGAGGGGAAGGTGCAATTCATTTCCCCACGATGCAAGTCGCATCTATGGAACCCGCAGTGGGGTTCCCAGCCAGAAGCCGAAGCCCCCTGTGTTTGCCTGGCCCAAGACGAGTTGATTTCTATTCCCCCTGAATATCGGGACTTGGCCAGAGTCTTCGAAGAGGAAGAAGCAGATGAGCTCCCACCCCATAGGCATTCAGACTGTAGTATCAAATTACAACCGGGTCATAAATTGCCTAAGGGCAATTTATGCAATGGGACCGGCCGAAAAAGATGAACTGCATAAGTTTATCGATAAGAATCTGGCCTGGGGTTTCATCAGACCGGCTTCTTCACAATTTGCAGCCCTCATGCTGTTCCAGAAAAAGAAAGATGTGGGGTTGAGGCTTTGTACTGACTATAGGGGCTTGAATGCTGTTTCGTCTACCAATGCCTACCCCATGCCGCTCATCAAAGACTTGTTGACCGAGGCGTCTAAAGGGAAAATCTTCTCCAAATTGGATCTCCAAGATGCGTACTTCAGAGTTCGCATAAGGGAGGGAGATGAGCACAAGACCACCTTTAATACACCCCTTGGCCAGTTTGAATACCGAGTGATGTCATTCGGCCTCCAGGGGGCTCTGGGAGTATTCATGAATTTGATTAACGAGGTATTGCACAAGCATTTATTCATCAAGGAGGCCCTTGTTTACTTGGACAATATCTTGCTGTATTATTATTATTTATTATTTATTATATTTATATCCCGCCCATCCCGCGAACGGGCTCAGGGCGGCTAACACTGCGGTACGATGTACCTAATGACATACAAAAACATTAAAACTCTATAAATATCATAGACAAATACTTTAAAACATAAATTAACAGTTTCTACTAAAAATATATCCCGCCCATCCCGCGAACGGGCTCAGGGCGGCTAACACTGCGGTACGATGTACCTAATGACATACAAAAACATTAAAACTCTATAAATATCATAGACAAATACTTTAAAACATAAATTAACAGTTTCTA